GGAGAAGGTCAAATACCGTATGATTTCCTTCATTAAGTAGTAGATAATAACAACAATAAACAAACACATAGGGACAGAGATTGGATTGGTGGTTGCCGGGGGGGAGGGGGGGAGGCAGGGGGGTAAGGGGATGGTTCAGGACATGTGTGTGGTGATGGGTTGTAGTTAGGTTTGTTTTCTAATTTGACTTCCACACCGACGACAGAATTATTCCTCCCCGTTACCTTCAGAAAAATGAAAGCAAATTCTTAGCAAAGCATAGATGATCCTTCACAATCTTTATAGTCTACTTCTCTAGCCTTATCTTTCATCTCTTAGCACTCTGAACCATGGCCTCATGTACTTCACTATAAAAGCTTGTGAACATAGTGTTCCATCTGTCTTGAAAACTTCCTGCCTTGGCCCCATTTTCGTCTGACTAGGATCTTTTTAATCATCCTTCAAAAATTATCTCAGATTTATCTGCTCTTTGAAACTTCCCCATTCCCTTTATTCCCTGTTCCCACACTCCCAACACATAATTCAGAGTTGGCCATAGGTTTTAATATTTGATTCCTTGCCTTATTTATTCATTTTTGTGTTCCCACCTCCTGTCACTTAGAAGGAACCTAAAAACAATAACAAAAAATAATTAGAGCACGATTTAATTAGTGAAAAATGACACCTATGAATAGGTGAATTATTGTAAACTGTCTTATAGCATTTATACCATTAAAAAAATCTCTCTGCTGTTGGACTTTTAACTAATCAGGAAATGGAAAAAAGAAATACCACCTTATTTGATTAAGATGAAAACACATTCTTTGTGTATAGCAAAAGAAAATAGAGATCCTTCACACTACAAATATTTATATAGGAACTGCACTAACTTGTTGTGTATCTTTGTATTAGCACATCTTCATTTTCCTTGACATCATTTCCAGTATGTGGGGCTTGTGACTGAAAAGATCAGCACGTGACCATCTCTTACCATTCCGTGCAAACATGGCTATGGGCTTCCTTGACTCGTTGCTTAGACACCCTGTTTGTTGTATTCTAACACTTCAACTTGAACAGCTTGCTATGGTCTGAATGTTTGTGTTCCCCCCAAATTCTCACACGTTGGAATCCTTATACCCAATGTGATGGTGTTAGAAGATAGGACGTTTAGGAGGTGATTAGGTCACGAGGGCGGATCCCCAATGAATGGGATTGTTAGCACGGTCAAGTCGATTCCGACTTCTAGCAAGCCTGTGGACAGCAGAGTGGAACCCTGCCTGATCTTTTTGCGCCATCCTCTCATCTTCCATTGCTACATGAGACAATGCTCTGCTGCTATTCATAGGGTTTTTATGGCGATTTTTTTTCAGAAATGGGTGGCCAGGTCCTTCTTCCTAGTTTATCTTAGTCTGGAAGCTCTGCTGAAACCTGTCTACCCTGGGTGACCCTGCTGCTGTTTGAAATACCGGTGGCATAGCTTTCAGCATCACGGTAACAGGCAGCAGCCACAGTATGACAACTGACAGATGGGTGGGTGTGGTTCCCTGACCAGGAAATGAACCCGGGCCAGGTGGTGGGAGCGCTGAATCTTAACCACTAGACCACCAGGGCTGGCTCCTGAATGGGGTTAGTGCTCTTATAAAAGAGATCTCTAGCCCCTTTCGCCAAGTGAGGATACAAGAAGTTTGAAACCTACCAGAGGGCTCTCACGTAGCCATACTGGCACCCTGAGTTCAGACTTCCAGCCTCTAGAACTGTGAGAAATAAATATCTGTTGTTTATAAGCTACCTAGTCTGTGGTATTTTGTTATAGCAACCCAAACAGACTAAAACACTGCTGTTTTGAAGTTACCGTGAATGTCCTCCTTACCAAGTTGGCTGACTTTGAGAGTACTGAATTCTCACCCTTTTGATCTCTATATCATGTAATACCATTTTAGAAATTTCTTCCTCTACTGGTTTCCATGAGGTCATGCTTTGATTGTCTTCTCATTGTGTAAAAGTCTGCTTTAAAAAAATCCAAATTCCTAGTTATATCATTCTCTACCATCAAACTTCTGCTCATTTTTATCTATACTCAATCCGTCTCCTCCTTCATTCATTCCCATGACATCAGCTCTCTAGGGATGACTCCTAAGTCTGCATAGCCTATGCTATCCATTTACCTGCCCTCCATTTCCAGTACCTAACCACAAAGATATCTCCTATCAATTCTAATTCCATTATTAAATATTGAATTTATAAATTTTTCAAACAATTTTTACTCAATTTTTTTATTTACAGTGATTATTATTATTCTCTTATTTTCCCATTCTACAGGAATCCTTCTGATCGTCTTTGATTTTTTCTTTTGCATGTAAAGCATATAGAAACTGTATCCAAGCCCTCTTTTTCTCCCTCTAATTATCTTTTATAATTCCCTTACCTAACTGTTGGGCATTTTGTCTGGCTCTTTCCACCCTAAGTCAGTTGTTTCCTTCATCTTGGGCACATAGTTGCCTCCACCTGCAGCTGAGAACTGCCATGTGACTAAGTATGTGCCAGTGGAATATGAGCAGAAGAGAAGTGTGCAACTTCCACCTAACTTGCTTAAAAGATGCTTGCTTGAGCATACTCATCTTTTGCTTTCTGCTGGCTATAAAGGATGACACCGTGAGCAACTTCGGGACTCATATTGAACAGGCTGGAGCAAGCCCCAGCCAGGTTCCTAATATGATTTCCTAGAAGAGAACGAATTACCCACCTTGGATTGAGAGAGAAATAAACTTCAGTCGATTTTTGTATTTGCGTCCTTTTATAAAGCATTTTAGCCTTGACTGTAACATGCTAATTATTACCAAACAACAGTCAAGTCTGTGCCTTCAACATTTCACACCAGCATGACTGCAAAGAGTTCTCATTCATTAGCCTCCTGTCTCTTTCTCATCTGCAGACAAACAGAGGTCAGTTCTTGTTCAGGCTGTAGGAGAGGATCACGACTTTTTCATATGCTGCAGCAAATAGAATTGAAGCCAAAAATGTAAATCCACGGTATCTTGGGGAGAAACTGAAATAAAAATCAGGCAGTCTTTTCAACTGAGTGCCCCATCAAAACAGGCCATACACTGGAGGAATCTAAGAATAAGACTACAGGACAGAAACTGGAGAAACCACATGACAGCAGAGAGTTCAAAGCAGAGGGTGGACGACAAAGCCTAGAGAGACGCCTTAAGCTGGGAAGAGCTTGGGGAGTTTTTAGGAGGAATGTGGCCTTGAGTCAAAGTAGGGAGGGAAGTGCGTGGACTCTAACCTAGACATCTCTTATTTGTCCACTTTTCAAGGCATTCTTTATTCCAACAGGTTAGTTTCTTCCCAACTAGAGACAAATAGCTTAGAATTAGTCTTATTAAATCTGCTTTCTTCATGTCAATTTTGCACTGCATGTATAAAACACTGTAAACTACCATACTTTTTAAAATATGGTGCTATCTAGAATTGAAACAGTGAAGGAAAAGAGAAAACCCAGAAACATACCTAAGAAAATTTAAAACCTTCATATCTAATAAACAAAGCACCAAAAACCAGTGGGTTAAGTGTTGATTTTTCCATCAAGTTTTAGGAAAATTGGCTATCTGGAAAATAATTTTTAATTAACACAACCTTAAGTTAGTGTATACCAAACTAAGTTATAGACTATTAAATAATTTAATTGATCCATTCATTCAACAAATATCTATTGAGTACCTAATATGTGCTAGACTCTGAGGTTATAATGGTATACATGACCTACTCTCTCCACCTAAAGACCTCAGAGTCTACTTGGGAAGAAAGACAAGCAAAGGAGAAAATAGGCAAAAATTGAAGTTAGGCAAGGGCTTCCAAGGCGAGGCCTCAGTGAGGCGCTGACATTATCCTGGGAAAGAGGAGGGGCAGCAGAGGTGAAGGAATGCTTTCCAGCAAGGAGAACAAGGTGTGTTAAGACTAGAAACAATATAAAATATTTTGCTTTCTAAAACTACGAGAAGTTCAGTAAGGCAGCTATTGACATTTTATACAAATGCCCTCTTGGTCTAGACTGCCTAGCCAATAAATGCAGATAGAGAAAGACAAGTACAGTTTCAAGATAGCTTCAATATGTCCTTATATTCGGGAGGGTGGAGGGGAATGCTATACTGACCACTGGTATGAGAAGAAAAATATGCAAATAAATGACATGAGTAGGCAGTATTATTTGAAGTTGTTACTGTGGTGAGTGTTTATAGTAAAAATTCTGCTTATCTTTTCAGAATCAATGGTATCTGGGGAGAAAAAGAATGTTAAGGAAAAGCAAAACATTAATTTTTAAATACTTTCTTAATCTCATTAATGGAGCTTTCTTGGTAAGAATCTTCATAATTATTTAGTAAAGAAAATGTAGTGCATTTTTATTGGCAATATTAAAAAATAAGCATTGACTCTCTTTTCTGTAGGTTCTTGGACTTTTACTCATGGGATTTGGTGCATGGCTTTTATTAGATGGAAATAATCTTTTCACAGCTTTGGGTATGTATCTATTTTCCTTTTTCTCTGTGAATGAAATGAAGCATTCCATTTTAAACAATTACATACATGATTTCTTCAGCAGGTGGCAGTATTTCTCTAAAATTCATTAAGTATTGTCCAGTTTTTCCTCTGAAGCTCTTTGTCAGTTGGTTTTAGAACCGTCTCATTAAATAACAGGACTTAAATCCAAAACCATAAAGGAGAAAAAATTTTGGGAGAGAGAACTACGACCTTTGGAAAAGAGGATGAGAGAAATGGAAGACTGTGATTGTTCTGCTAATTATAGACCTTTACAGATCTATAGACTTGAAAAGATAATGGAGAGCAACATAGTTTCACTGCCCAAGTTAAATAATCTCTTTTAAAACTCAGTTACCATATATTCTCACCATTACATGGTTAGAAATAAAATATAATATTCCCTATGGAAACAACCGAAGTGTTCATCAACAAATGAATAGCTAAAGATATATATATACACACACACAATGGAATTTTATTCAGCCATGAGAAATAAGGAAATCCTGCCATTTACAACAACATGGATGGAACTTGAAGGCGTTATGTTAAGTGAGATCAGTCAGACAGAGAAGGACAAAGACTGTATGATATCACTTATATGTAGAATCTAAGAAAACTGAACTTGTAAACACAGAGAGTAGAATAGTGGTTGCCAAGGGCTGGGGCAGTGGGAGTATTGGAGAGAGATTGTTTAAGGGTACAAACTTATAATTGGTAAATAAATAAGTTTTGGTGATCTAATGCACAATGTAATGATTACAGTCAACAGTACTGTATTATAAACTTCAAAGTTACTAACGGGCAATCTTAACTATTCTCAATGCAAAAAAGACATGATAAATATGTGACATGACAAAGATGTTAACAATGCTACTATAGTAATCACATTGCAATATATAAATGTGCCAAACCCAGACATTGTACACCTTAAACTTACGCAATGTTATATGCCAATTATATCTAAATAAAAAATATTCCCTTCCAAACATATTTTACAAAGCCAGCATTACCCTGATACCAAAACAAAACAAGAACACCACAAAAAAAGAAAATTATAGGCCAATAACCTTGATGAACATAGATACAAAAATCCTCAACAAAATAATAACAAACTGAACCCAACAATACGTTGAAAGGATCATACACCATGATCAAGTGGGATTTATTCCAGGGATGCAAGGGTGATTCAACATCTGCAAATCAATCAACATAATACATCATATTAACAAAATGAAGGATAAAGATCATATGATCATCTCAACAGATGCAGGAAAAGCATTTAACAAAATTCAACATCCATTTATGGTAAAAAGAACTCTCAACGAAGTGGGTATTGAGGAAATGTACCTCAACATAATAAAGGCCATATATGACAAAGCCACAGTTAACATCATACTCAACAGGGAAGAGCTGAAAGCTTTTCCTCTAAGATCTAGAACAAGACAAGGATGCCCACTCCTGCCACTTTTATTCAACATAGGATTGGCAGTCCTAGCCACAGCAATCAAGCAAGGAAAAGAAATAAAAGGCATCCAAATCAGAAAGGAAAAGCAAAACTCATTATTTGCAGGTGACGTGATACTATATATAGAAAACCCTAAAGACTTCACCAAAAAACTATTAGAGCTAATAAATGAATTCAGTAAAGTTGCAGAATACAAAATCAGTATATAGAAATCTGTTGTGTTTCTATACACTAATAACCAACTATCAGAAAGAGAAATTAAGAAAACAATCTCATTTACATTTGCATCAAAAAGGACAAAATATCTAGGAATAAACTTAACCAAGGAGGTGAAAGACCTATCTATACACTGAAAACTATAAGACACTGATGAAATAAATTGAAGAAGACACAAGTAAGTGAAAAGATATTCTGTGCTCACGGATTGGAAGAATCAATATTGTTAAAATGGTCATACTACCCAAAGCAATCTACAGATTCAATGAAATCCCTATCAAAATTCCAATGGCATACTTCACAGAACTAGAAGAAATAATTGTAAAATTTGTATGGAACCACAAAAGATCTTGAATAGACAAAACAATCTTGAGAAAGAAGAACAAAGCTGAAGGTATCACGCTACCTGATTTCAAACTATACTACAAAGCTATAGTAATCAAAACAGTATTGTATTGGCATAAAAACAGACACATAGATCAATGGAACAGAATCAAGGGCCCAGAAATAAATCCACACATATATGGACAACTAATCTGTAACAAAGGAGCCAAGAACATACAGTGGAGAAAGGACAATCTCTTTAATAAATGCTGTTGGGAAAACTGGACAGCCACATGCAAAAGAATGAAACTAGACCACTATCTTTCACCATACACAAAAATAATTCAAAATGGACTAAAGACTTAAATGTAAGACCTGAAACCATAAAACTCCTAGAAGAAAACATAGGCAGTAAGCCCGTTGACATCGGTATTAGCCATGTCTTTGTGGATTAGACTCCGAAATAAAAACAAAAAGAAACAAATGGGACTACATCAAACTAAAAAGCTTCTGCACAGTGAAGAAAACCATCATCGAAAGGAAAAGGCAATCTACTGAGTGGGAGAAGATACTTGCAAGTTATACTTCTGACAAGGGGTTAATATCCAAAATATATAAAGAACTCATACAACTCAACAACAGAAAAACAAACAACTCAATTAAAAAATGGGCAGAGGATCTGAATAGACATTTTTCCAAAGAAGTCATTCAGATGATCAAAAGGCACGTGAAAAGATGTTCAATATCACTACTTATTAGGGAAATGCAAATCAAAACTACAGTGAGATGTCACCTCACACCTGTAAGAATGGCTTGTATCAAAAAGGCAAGAAATAACAAGCATTGGAGAGGATCTAGAGAAAAGCGAACCCTCATACAGTTAGTGGGATTGTAAACTGGTGCAGCCACTATGGAAAACAGTATAGAGAGTCCTCAAAACACTAAGAATACAACTACCATATGACCCAGCTATTCCACTTCTGGGTGTTTATCTGAGGAACACAAAAACACTAATTTGAAAAGATATATGCACCCCTATGTCCATTGCAGCATTATCTACAATAGCCAAGATATGGAAACAACCTAAGTGTCTGTTGATGGATTAATGGATAAAGAAGACGATGTGGTATATATATATATATAATGGAGTACTACTCAGCCATAAAAAAGAATAAAATCTTGCCATTTGCAACAACATGGATGGACCTTGAGGGTATTATGCTAAGTGAAATAAGTCAGATGGAGAAAGACAAATACCGTATGATTTCACTCATATGTGGAATCTAAAAAAACAAAACAAGCAAACAAACAAAACAATTTACTGGAGGGGAAAGAGGTTGGAGGGGGAAAGATGGGTAAAGGGAGTCAACTGTGTGGTGATGGATGGTAACTAGACTTGTGTTGGTGAGCACTTTGTAATATATACAGATGTTGAATTATAATGCTGTGCACCTGAAACTTATGTAATTAAATAAATATATATTCCCATAGAATTTTGAATTTGAGTTTAAAAGAGTCTGGGACTAGACTTACCCAAGGTAGCCAAGATTTTGAAACACAGGACCTACCAGCAGCCATGTTTTACCTCGTGGACTGTGGCACATCAGAAGCTGGTCTGGAGGGAAAAGTGAAAAGAATTAGATTCCAGAGAGAGAGAGACAGAGATAAGAAAGAGACATCATCTACCCTTGATTTTTTTCAAGGCCCAAATGCATATCCACACTTTTCCCATGTGGTTGTTTAGATATTTTTTTGCATGTCCCAATATTCATTAAATAAATTTATTTTTTTGGATTAAAAAAATATATATAATATTACCCAAATATGAATAAAATAATTGAATGCATTTAACTTTATACAAAAAAACTTTAGATCTTTATATTGCCCTTATTTTACCATTTTGTGGTATGCTGTGGTCACTGTGGACTGAAGTTTAATAGGCTAAGGTTATTTTTATAGAAATATCCTTGGTTGGCAGGAAGAAAGCCACATTTTCAGTGCTCAATAGCCATATATGGCTATTGGGTATTGGTTACCTCACTGGACAGCATAGATATAGAACATTTCCATTATCTCAGTAAGTTCTATTGAACAGCACTGTTAATCATTGAACATATGGCAAAAAACATATGTACTATAGAGCCAACATATTTCTTAGTGGATATCAAGCAAGAAAAAATATGTTTGTGGGAAAAAGCAAGCTAAATGAAAAGACTTAATATGTAATAAAGTGCTACAAAGTAATGAATAATTTATCTAAACTTCAGCTATACCTAAGTGCGTGGTATCTTTATTCTCTTCTGTTTGTGTACTTTGTTTATGCAAAAGTATTCATGATGTCTGAGGGCATTAGCAGTTTACTAAGAGTAAATAGGTGTGTAGCGATCTTATGACAATGTTTCTCTCTCTCTTTCCTTCCCCACAATAATGACAACAGTTGTTTCTGCTGATTTAGTGTTGACTTGGTGCCAGACACCGGGCTAAGCACTTCCCATGCAGTATCTAACTTAATAATGTAGTAATTATTGGTGGAGCAAAAGGCATTTTCTTTTCTTTTTTCCTTCTCTCCGTTATGGACTTGACAGATTATTCTCATTAACCCTAATGTACTTGTGAAAAACCCCCTGCAGAGGTAATCAGAAACTTATCTTTTAAGTTCTGTTTTAAAAAGTTATGTATGGGGGCCGGCCCCGTGGCTTAGCGGTTAAGTACGCACACTCCCCTACTGGTGGCCCGGGTTCGGATCCCGGGCGCACACTGACACACCCCTTGTCTGGCCATGCTAAGGCGGCATACCACATACAGCAACTAGAAGGATGTGCAACTATGACATACAACTATCTACTGGGCCTTTGGGGAGGAAAAGGGAAAAAAAGGAGGAGGATTGGCAATAGATGTTAGCTCAGAGCTGGTCTTCCTCAGCAAAAAGAGGAGGATTAGCATGGATGTTAGCTCAGGG